AGTGCATTGATGAACACAGCACGTTTGAGCTGAGGATCTCTATACCACATCCTGTTTTGGTATACTGAAAACATCCGTAGTTATCAGGTTCACCCTGTATGTAACATTATGTAAAAAGTCCATCCACTAATCGATCCTCAAACCACGGGGGGCTGGAGCAGGAAATACATCCTGAAAGAGATGCCGTTCCTCGCAGGGTACGCGCGCGCACACACACGCACACTCTAGGGGAGATGCCGGTTTGTCTAACTGCATCTCTGTACTGCAGTACGGCAGAACATTCAAACCCCGCAGAGAGCAGGGGAGGGATCGGGACCCCCGAGCCTGGCGGGAAGAGGTCACCGTGCTGCCTTCATCTACCAAATATTATATTTTATCCTGCATTAAGCATGCTGTTTATATTTTATAATTATCTTGAGATGAGGTTGTCTAAATGACGGCATTAAAGAATTAATGAATATGATGTCCTCACCATATATATATGTATATATAATTATTTCGTTTTTAAAAAGTTACTAAGACTGCGCTCATGTATCTTTAACTGTTAGAGGTTATTACAGGGTAATGACCTTCCACTTCAGTCTTGGGCGGGAGTCTCTCCTCAGCTCTAAAATGATACCAATATTGCCCTCTAGTGGTCATACAAATAGTGCTATTTAAAGACTACTTTTAAATCATTAAATTTTAAGTGTAAATTGTAATATTGATTTCCCTCGCTTTATGATATTTCAACTTCACGATGGTCCGATGGCTTTGCATATTCAGTATCATCAAACTTGTGATCTATCCTCGGGCTAGCGATACGCTGTACGACACTTTCTACTGATGGCGAGCGATGGAAGTATCACGCGGCCACGCTTCCAGTCTTTGTAGCAATCGAGAGTAATTCATTTTTTTCTGCTTAACCAAATATTCACTTATTCTGTGCAGTAGTTATTTATTTACCTATAATATTCATATTCGACTTAGGATATTTTCCATTTACGGTGGGTTCATCGGAGCGTAATCGCATCCTAATTTGGGGAGCATCTGTACTATATACACACATTTAATGTAGTTAATGTAGGCTATTTGATAACTATAAAACAGAGCTCGGTATTATAAATCATAATTAGTAGAGCGAAGCAACTAATGGCAATTTCTTTACAAATTGTATTCTGCTTAATGCTTGGAAACTGAGTATCTGATGAAGGTGCGATTTAAACGACTCTGAAAGGTCAATGTACGCTGTGATCATTGCAGAGCAGCCCCTATCATCTCTGCTGTAGCAGGAAGCCGAGACCACGCCCTCGCGAACCACGGAGACTAAGTCAAAGTAACAATTACACATGCAGTTATATGGAAAGTAAACTTTTTCGTAGGAAGTATAAACGCAAGCCCTTCTCCTGCGACGTTATTTCCTCAATGTGTCACTGCCGAACGAAACAGCGAAGAATAATCGTGATTACATCCGGATCCCCCACATCCCGCAAGCATATTTCAAAATGCTCTATGCTCATCCCGACAAAAACAACATGCGATGCCCTCCATTCAAAGACTTTTCACAGACGTGCCCCTACGTTTTTGTAGTTGGCTTGAAAAGCCTCGTATGCATATTTGTATTATAAAATACTTATTTTAAACACAAGCAGCAGAAACGTACCCAGGTGGGAGGCACTGGAGACAGCAGATTGTGCGGAGCCGTTCGGACTCACGGTGGCGCGCGAGGCTAAGGGATTCCGCACGAGGCCGCTTCTGGGGCGTTACGGAGCATCACGTGACAACGCCGCGTGGTTCCTTAGGAGTTTTCCGGCGTCTGGAATGCATTTCATTTATTTTTCATACTAATAAAGCGCAATATGCAATAACAATAATAATATGTTGTGCAATTTTATATAGTGACAAAACCACCCATTTTAATACAGCTGATTAGTTTTTTGTTATTTAGCATATCATTTTAACTCATATTTACGTCCATATAAACGCTAAACAACTGTACACTACAAAATGAACAGAGAAATTCAAGGCACTTGTTACATAAAACTTCTTTCAAACACGTTTTATAATAAATTTGTATTTGTTTAAAATACATTTTTAAATGACAATCAGTTTTGACTAACGGGCAACAAGGGAAAGCATGAAAAACGGATGTTTCGCACAAATACAATCGCACGACTAGACGAACATCACTGCCTGGTTTTGTTCTCAGGACGCGTCGAAACGTGAATGGCATCTTTGATGAGATGCTGAAGATTGAGTACTGTGTCTATTGGTTAACAGATGAAAATTAGGCGGTAAGGGATTCATACGGTGCAGAACTCAACGTGCCCATAAAAGAATATGCACATTTAAATCCGCCAGTCGATAAACAATCAGTTGTGATCCCAGGATGATGCTTCTTTCGAAAACGAAAGTGCGCGGGCACATTAAAAGTTGAGCCTGATGCGATGTACGTAATAGTGTAAATAAAACTTTAAAACTTCACTTTTGACAGGCATCCAACAGAAACATAAACACCTTTTTAACCGCGCCCTGTTTAATAACGGGAAATCTGAGGTCTGTTTACCATAGTAATCATGAGGCGGCCAACGTCATTCTGAAAAGTGTACTTGTATAATCAAGGTGACATGCATGGCACTATTGTCTCGGCACTCCGCCATGATAACAATCTATCCCCGCCAAGACGCCCTTCACAGGTAGCCTGACCTCTATCTCTAATCTCTTGTATATGTCGCATATAGTTCTTTCTTTACATGAAGTTAACCTCGGTTTAAATATTTTTTAATCCTAAATAAAGAAAATATGAAGAAATATTAACGTACATCGTCCAAAGGCCCACAACATGCTTTGAAAATCTAATTTTGACGCAGAATTATAACATTGTATCTATCTATATATATATATATAAAATTGTAACTAATATATAGGCCTACATATATTAGTTATACATATATATATATATAAGTTACGATAATTTAGGTCTTTCTAAATATTAAATGGATTAATATTCTCCATCACTACCCACTAAAATTGCAAGCAATCATTCAAACCTGCAACGGAAAGACGAAAAATAGCAATTTTGCAAACAAGTTTTACAACACATGAATACATAATATTATTTTACGTTGCCGGCTCTGTTCTTTAACTATCGCACGTGTACACATACAGCTTTCCAAAAACGTTTTCCTCATAATAATATCAAACACATCTTAGCGCCATTCCTCTGTAGTTATTCGTACTGGGATGACAAAAGCCACAGAGAAAACAAACAAATCAAGAAGTAAAAAATTATATGCTTACCTCTGATATAAAAATAACACATAACGTTATCAAAAATCGACCGCTCATGTTTTGTTAATATCACCGGTGAGCTGATCCCGAAATAAACGAACGATATTGAATATATTTTAATTGAAACGTATAGAAAGTCGTTTGAACTGGCGAGGAAACGCGGGACATGGGGACGCTGTAGGTACGTCATTGCACGAGTATCCAAATGAGGGAAATTGAAATACAACAGACGACAAATTGTTCTTTTGTCAAGAAAAATAAGAATGTTAAATTATGTTAAAAGATATTACTGGTCAGCCGAAACATATATCCCACAAACCCAAGGCGCATTGCATTTTGTAATACTATTAAATTACAGACACCAAATTTGAAATGATATAGTAATACAATAAAACTGAATGAAATAAAATATTATAAAATCTGTTCGCCTTTCAAAACCCGCTTGTTATAAAACGTGGTAAATGCAACAATAAAAGTAATGGGATTTAAGGCTTTTGTCTCGCTCACTGATACTTTTCGTTCCTTGGTGTTGAAAAAAGTCCCCACCCTTTTTAGATGTCCCAGGAGCTTTTATGTTAAAAAGACTTCGCGTCTTTTATTTCTTTTCTTCGACATTGCACACACGATCTGTTTTATCACAACACGGCGAATCTTTTAAAGATTAAAACGTCTCTGATGAAAAAAAGCAGACGAGCAAACCGTTTTGGCGCATGAATCCAAGTCTGAAACTGTGGGACGGCGCGGACACAATAAACCTGTTGTTAACCTTGCTGTGAAAATATGTTTAAAAAAATAGGCGATTGTTGTATGAAATGTATTCAAGTATAAAATAATGCCCTTTGTTGGGAAAACTTGAGCAATGTGAGGGTACAAAAGTCCCCTGTGGCATTCGCCTGCTCCCTTTGTGATGTGTGCGCTTTGGCGTCTCCACTTGGCGCATTACCCAAGCCCTTTAAACGCGATTGTTTCTTTTTTTCTAATGACATTTACCGGATCAAAACATGCTGTTAATTCGATCAGAAAGCTTTACCCTTCACAACAATGCCAGAATAATTTCTCCCAAAGTTTGTTAAGTTGACCGAAATTAGGCAAATGAATAGGGGTCTCCAGGGTACCCCTCTCGCAGGTGACAGCGAATAATACACTTTCGGACCAGCTGCATTCTTCTTTATTTCTCCCTTTCTTTCACAGCATTATTAAAATTTAGGCCAATGAAACTATTCAGTCATTTCAATAGACATTTTCTTATAGGATAATAGGATACAAATTGAGCCTCTCTAGAAAGGAATCCAGTGGTGGGTGAACCTCGCGTGCCGGAGGCTGCTGGAGCCGCTGGCGGGTGAAGGAGAAGCCCGGGCGCGAGCCCCAGCCCCACACCTGCCGAGGTCTCGGACAAAATAAAGAACGTAAACAAAAAGCTTGCCATGTCTCATAAAAGATGGACGTGTCACCAAGTCGTGTGAGAAACCCTGAGAACAAACGAGGGGGGGACTCCATCTCCAAAAGATCTCCCTCGAACTTGGCGGAACAGCCTATTAAAGGCTTACTTAATTACTTTAATGATACTGGACAGGCCTTAAAACTCAGACAGTGCTTGGATGGAAGTTAAGGTCGCTTGCTGGGTTTTGTAAACAGGCGATCGTGTGAGAAACGCGAGCTGGGAAAAGGGAATTCTTTTTTCTGCGCCTTTGTTTTCTTGCGCGCGCTGCGCTCCGGAGGATCAGGCCGACTCAGCGCTCAGTTCACATTTCCCGCCTGGGTTGTTACTATGCAAATAATATTCTTAAAGTAATCACGTGTCTTTTGAAGGGCCACGTGGATTAACAAAGCAGTCCTGCCCCCTGCTAGCCCATGGCTTCAGGTTTTTTGCCATTTCTTTAACTGATCCTAAATGCACACATTTAGCAAAGGCCTCCCTTTAATCCTATGGAATAATTTAGGCTATGAATGCACGAGTCCCCTAAATGATCGCTTTATAAGGAGTAACGTTCAGTCCCGAACCGCAGAACATCTAGTTTACCACCAGTAGAACACACAGAACTGACTCCTGGTCAATATTTTTTTTTACTTTTTTGAATTTTGCACCAAATTATGGCATCTAAAATGAAGGAACGCAAGGTAAGATTTCCTCTCCCAGGAAAAAAAAAGAAAACGAAGGATTATCAGTAATTTTGAAATGCAGCACGCCAAGCATTTAGGCCTTCTTCTGGAACCAATATTAGGTGGATATAAACATAGATGTTCTATGATGACTGAAATTACGTAGTCAGTGGTACAGCATCGAGCTCGCTTCCGCGTGCCTAAGGGGCTTCCGCTTTCCAAAGGGTACGAATTGAGCTGCGAGTGTCTGTAACATCCACGGACATTTGCACACTGGTCACTCATGAGTGGACTGTAAGATTTCACTCTAATGGCCCGATGTTTTTGATCTATATAAAGCGAAGCGCGCAAACTGAAGTTTAGTTAGAAGTACTGCGCACCACAATCCAATGTCAACGTCAGCCGTCTGTAACTGCTACTGCTAGTCAGTTCCAACGTGTTCACTATCATTTAACATTAGAATAACTATACACATGTGCTGTTTCTCATGAATGGAGCATCAGATTATTGTTATTTTTTTCTCAGTTACACTGGCCATTCATTTCTGTGATTGTTTCCCCCCCAGAGAACGCCAGTTTCCCACAAAGTGATAGAGAAAAGAAGACGAGATCGCATCAATCGATGTCTTAACGAGTTGGGGAAAACGGTACCAATGGCCCTGGCAAAACAGGTATGGTTCAGTTGTTAAATACTAAGTCTTGAATGAATCCATGGCTGATGGTGCTGATTAATTTTATATATATATATATATATATATATATATATATATATATATATATAAATAAAAGCATTCGGTAGTAGTTTATCATTCATTAATTCCTTTTTATTTTTATTAAATTTTTTATTAAGAGCAATAATCCCACTGCAGTGCCAACGCTTATTGAAGAATACCTGTGACTCGTGTATAACTCGGGCGCCAGAAATTTTATGTGATTATTTGAGCTGTTATGCTTTGATATTAGGTCTTTAACGTAGCCATTTGTTTTTCCCTTTCCTTACTGACAGAATTCCGGAAAGCTGGAGAAAGCGGAAATCTTGGAAATGACCGTTCAGTATTTGCGGGCTCTTCACTCTGCAGACTTTCCGCGGGGCAGGGAGAAAGGTGAGCTCATTCGTCCTAAATTTCTATGTAATATGTCTTTCTTCATCGTAGACGTCTACTAATTTGCTTTCGCGTACTGTTATATTAATATAACGCCAAGATCGGCTTTTTCAACACTGTAAGTGACACGAGTGAAGCGCGCCGTCATTTTGCGCATTTTGTTACGACTTTAACGATTTAATCGCTTTTCATTAAATTCTAGCAGGTTTCATGTCTAAGGTATATAAGGTGAATTTAAATGGTTTAAAATATTTTCCAATAACCTTATATCTGTAAATACAGAGGGCGGCAAATTTAAGACTTTATTTTTCAAAACGTAGCCACGTGTAAGTGCGTTTTCAAGCGCACCCAGACATGAAACGCGATTCGCGTGGGTTTAGGAAGCTAATCTGTGAACAAAATAACGCCGACTGACGCTGAGATCGCGCTTACTTGCAGGGGAGCTCCTGGCAGAGTTTGCCAATTACTTTCATTACGGCTACCACGAATGCATGAAGAACCTGGTTCACTACCTCACTACGGTGGAGAGGATGGAGACCAAAGACACAAAATACGCGCGGATCCTCGCCTTCCTGCAGTCCAAGTCCCGCGTCGTGGCAGAGCCCGTCTTCGGCTCGGCCGGTGCTCTGCCCGACCCCGCGGACTACCTGTGCCAGATGCACCCCACGTCGGACTCCCAAAGCCTCAGCCCCACCGAGTCGGTTTTCCAGCAGACGCCCCCAGGACACTTCTCTTGGCACGCATCGGCGCGCAGCCCTTCAATCGCCTACCCGCCGGTGCCATTGGGCAGCTCGGCACCGCAGCACGCCGGCTACCTGTCGCCGGTGCCAGGACTGGAGCACCACTACGTCAGCCTCATCGGGCACCCGCACGCGAACGCCTTCGCCCTCCACAGCGCGCAGCACGCAGCATTGTAAATAAAAATATATATTTGTATTTATATATGTGTAAGAAATATGCCCTGTAAAATGTAGTATAGATTTTAAATAATAAATCTTTTGTAAGAAAAGTGCTAAAATTATTATTTTTGTACTAATTTAATCCATTTTTATTAATGAATGCACTGGAAGGCATTGCCTTATATGCGCTCTAACGTGCTGGATAAGCGGCTGAATGATGAATGTTTGGATGATTATCGTCATCATCCCAAAACTCTGTTTAGACATTGTGTGGTTTCCAGTTGGATAAAGCTGAAAACTGATCTTCAGATTAAATGCATTAGACTCATGCTCTTAGCCTCTGTTTGCAATTTTTATTAGGGTATTTTGTGTAGTTAACTGAAAAATCAGTGAATTCGTCGGTTTTGCTTATTGCGTTTTAAGTGCGACTTTAAAGTCTATCACTACTATATCCGTGCTATAAAGGTAACCGAACAGATCCGAATCTGCACTCCGTTTAACCCATTACTATCACCGACACCAGTAACTCGGCAAAAACACCGAAACCACAGAACTGAAAACCAGGCAACTTGTTCTGACTTAGTCGTATTTATAAGTAGCGAATATATTGGAGGATTTATGAAAGAAGAAAAAAAAACAGATTAATATTTTTACACAATATGGAAAAACGTTAATGACATTCAACAGTACCTTAAAATTCAACACAAACAACGGCACTAACAGTAAAACGTCAACATATAGCGAACTAAATTATTCAAAATAATGTTTCCATTTTCCAAACACGCTTGCACTTTGCAGGGATGTGGGGGGTCCGGAGCCTATTCCGAAAACAAGAGGTGCAAAGCAGGGAATATCCCAGGACGGGGCACCAACTCATGGTAGATCACACTCAAATTCACGCATACGGACAATTTTCAAAGTCATACTTCATAACATTTACGTGGGACTTTGCAGAGGGTCCGTGTCCCGATTGCATACATTTTCTAAGTCTTCCCACGTTTCTCTCCACCTATATTTAAATAGAATGCAAATAAAAAAATCAGATTTGTCAGTACTTGGGCAAGCAGCCTTAATCCCTGTGTTTCAACAGAAAGGATCCGCAAAACATTGTTTACCGAGGTCATCTCCAAACGATCCCCACTTTGTAAATTTAAACAACCACAGCCCTCCCCCTAACCCGATCCCCGGGGACCCGCCTCCCGACCAGAGTTATCACAGCATAAGTTTAACTTCCTTTTTCTTCATTACCGATTCACTCAACACATGAGCTTCTTGTGATTTTGAGCCAGTGAGCGGCAATAACCGCAGTGCCGAACGAGAGACACGCGAAAAGATTTATATGAAAGTAAGTAAGGGGCGTGCATTAATCTGAATCGTGCTGTGATAATGAAGTGAATAGGTCAATACCACGTTTTGGGGGGTGAGGTTTCTGCGTATTATTTTTCAGTAAATGTTTGTCAGGATTACCAGTAAAATTTAGCAGCTATGGACACGGAAAAAACCCATAATCTTGCAGATGGAGAAAGATTTTTAGCCCACAACCTTTTGCAGGCGGTGACATTTCCATATATTTAGGCAAATTAGGCAGAGCATTCTTCCTATTAGCCAGGATTAAGGTCTGAAACGGGACGGCCACCTTTGGTAACATTCCGCTCATTTACATGTCATTTTACAAACTCTCAGTGATCCATGACAGTCTTTGTTTATCTAATGTTGGAAGCCGTGATTCTGCTCTTTAAACTGTACAGGATAAACCCGCCCTCGGACTTTACAATGGTACCAAAGAAAGGGCACTGATTTGGCCCCCCAACACCCTCTTTTGCCCATAAGAAAAATCCCTCCATCGAAAGGGACCCATTTTTCAAACTTCTGGCTAAAAGTTGAACCGGTGGCGAATAGTATGACTTTCCAAAAGATTAAAAATGTGTTAAGCCAGGAAGGAACAGAACCGCTGCAACTTTTGGCTGAAATGTGCTGCCCCTTGCCCACAATGCCCGAATTCACCCCCACCCCGTCCCTCTGCCGCATCTTTAAGTAAGTTGTATAGTATCAGTTTCCAAGAGAGAGCCAGCACAAAACAGTAAAAACTCGGAGTGGGTTTTGCCGGGGCTGTGCCATTGTGGCGGCTTTGAAAGGGGACAATCTCTGCTTCCTTGGGCTTCATCCTTGACTGGGCAAGAATAAATGTGATCACCCCCAGGAAATCAAAGGCCTCTGTTGCAACGAAGGAACAAAGCCAGTCATTGGAGCTCCAGGCCTCACTGGAGATCAGGGCTTCGCTGGTGATCAGCGCCTGAAGGAGCTCTAGGACTCACTGGAGATCAGGGCCCGAAGGAGTTTCAGGCCTCAGTGGAGATCAGGGCCTCACTGGAGATCAGCACCTAAAGGAGCTCCAGGACTCACTGGAGAACAGGTTCTGAAGGAGCTCCAGGCCTCACTGGAGATTAGGGCCTGAAGGAACTCCAGGCCTCACTGGAGATCAGGGTCTGATGGAGCTCCAGGCCACACTGGAGATCAGGGCTTAATGGAGCTCCAGGCCTTACTGCAGATCAGGATCTAAAGGAGCTCCAGGCCTCGGTGGAGCTCAGGGTCTCGCATCTCTTCTGGGCTAGGCTGTGGAGCCCGGTGTCCAGGCTGGTCATCCCTCCCTGTGCGTGGCTGTTCCTTGGCATTGCCAGGCAGAGTGGCACTCTCTCATTCACACGACATGTTCCCGCATGACAGCCCACGGTGCAGGTGTCCACGGGCGGGACAGCCACACAAATAATCCCTAATAGAGGGATGGGTGCAGGGTGGTGTTGCTGGGGGGTGGGGGCTCGCTGTGATACACAGATGGATACACTGACAATAATGAGATGAAAGCGGGGCCCGTGAAAGCGTCCACAGGCCCAGGATGCCTGAACACAGCGTTTAGTAATTAAAGAAAAACACTCAGCATGACACGAGAGACTCAGCAAGTGTATGCAGCGCAGGCGGACAGAAAGGCCATGCCACCGCCCATTGTCATGTAAAATATTTCTACAAACAAGCAGTGTTTACCACGCTGCTGAGGAAACAGCCCCACCCGCCCCCGCCCGACACAGCAAGGCCCTGAGCACCACTGCAGCGTGCAAAGATATTTACTGCATCCCTCGGTCTAGCATCTTCCTGTGTGACCACAAAAGTGAGCCAGGTTAATAGGCAGAAGGGAGCCAGACGGTAGCAGAAATGTGACCTGCCTGAGGGCCCCCAGGACCGGGCTAAGGAGCACTAAGGTTATGTTATACATGTACCTGAATTTAGATATATCTACACTAATGTATATCTAATGTTTACAAAGGTATCTGAATTTAGATATCTAAGGTTATACATGTATCAGGAATTACCCAGATAATTAAAATCGTATATCTTAGACTATATATGTATCTGAATTTAGACTGATATCTCCCTTCTCTCTTACCAGTTCTGGTAAAAGCAGACACTTACTGTAGTACACCTATAACCCAAACCATGTGAAAAGACCGATGGAAAGTTCCACGGAAATGGTACTGCAGCAGCATTCCAGCTACTCGCAGGTGGAGGTGCGGGTGGAGGTGTAGAGGGAGGTACAGGTGGAGGTGGAGTAGCTGGTGGCGGCGCTCCTGCATGCCCGCCACCCGCACGCCTCCCGCAGGAACCTGCTGTAGTCGACGAGCCCGCTGCCCCCCCGCTGGTACGGCGCCAGCGTGCCGGTCGCCTCCTCGTCGTCCCGGGCGACTCCGTGCAGCTTGAGGACAGCTCGGAATTCGGTGGTGGGCAGAAGGCCGCGTCCTGTGCCATCTAGCTTCCGGAAAGCTCTACGCAGTGCCCGAACCTCCCTCCGCTGCTGAGGGGTCCAGAGAGGTCAAAGGTCAGCCGGGAGGATACCACAGTAGGACAACCGGAGTTACCGAGACTCTGGGTTAGAGAGCCGTGCGGGACGTTAGTAGGTTTGCCCACCTTCAGCCTCGGGCCGGACCCCCGAGGGGTCTCCTCTGCCGGCGGACCCCCTGAGTCCTGGGAGGAGTGCAGGACGACAGCCATATTGGAGCCGCATGGGTGCCCCCTCTCTTGTGACGCAAACGGCTTCAGGAACTCCATGTAGGATACCCTGGGGTAAGGGACAGGTGACGCTCAATGTGCTCCACCCTCAGTGTGGGGAATATGGTGGGCTACACCCCAAGCCAAAGACGACCTGGGGCCCGTTTCACATTTATGACCATTAAACAGCCAGAAGACAGTACTTGTCTTTAATTGATAATAGCATGCTTGTTATCATTAGCATTGACTGGCACCGCTGGCTGCAGCAGGTCTTTGGGAGAGCGTTTCCCTGGAGCTGCAGGGCTACACCACCTGGGATGTGACCCTGAGGCATTGTGGGTTTGAGTCCTGCTCTGTGTCCTTTCCGGCGTCACCGGGTGCGGCTTCTGCCCCCAGCTCGGGTCCCAGGGCCGCCGGCACCACTCACCTACCGTCGCCGTTAATGTCAAACTTCTCTCCCAGGATGTCACATTCGTGCCGAGTGAGCTGGGAGCAGAGGTCTCTCAGGATGTGGCCAAACTCCTCCCGGCTGATGAACCCGGTCCTGTAAGGGTCTAGGTCCTCAAACTCACCCTGGAGGTCGTGGTGCAAGAGCTCGACCTGGATAGGTGAGGAAACACCACCCATGACCTCACTTGCCATGTCTCTCTAGCATTTCAGCGCCCCCACCCACCCCCATACCTTGGCCCGCACGTTGTCCGCCAGGATGTCATAGACAGCGTTCAGCTTCCTGGAGCGCCGCCGGCGGTCCGCGTCCCCCCACCGGGGGGGACTAACCTTGGCGTTGGGGAAGCAAGCTGACTTGGGGGAGTGGCCAAAGTGCCGCACGAAGTGCAGGAAGTCCAGCGTGTGGTCCCGGTTGGTGAGCAGCGTCCCCCAGAGGCGCCGGATTTCCCCCCGGCTCACTTCGGGCTGGATATTGAATCTGCCGGGGCGGGGGAGGGACGCGTAAAAGCCGGCAGATGAATGCCACTGCTGATAGGAAAGGGTGGGCCAGCCCTAGGCGCAACACCCCCCCCCCCCCCCCAGCAACAACGGCGGTAACAAAAAGCCTGGCGCGGTGCCACCCGCCCGGGACCGGGCTTCAGCCCAGTGCCGCCAATGGCAGCGATTAACGGCGGCGGGGGGTAAACAAAGACAGACGGAGCGTGCGCTGAGAGGCGCGGCCCACGAGCCTCTGCACGCCAGGCCTGCTGACAATATGGAGCTCTGCTTAATACCGCCTGAACCGCAGATGCTAAGGACAGAGAAGTGGCTCTTTGTTTTCCGGCGATCCCGCTACGTTCTGATTAGCTAACAGGCACTAATGTACGTGTCATATCGAAACGTTTACATTCAGATATAGGGCTCGCGCTATACCTTCGGGTCCGGAGCCTGAATTTCCCATGAATCCATTATGCGCCAAAAAGGGGCAGGTCTACGTTATGATCAACACATCAATGAACACTTTCATAACTAAAAATAGTAGTAATTTTGGCTTCATTGACAAAAGATTCAGCACAGTAAACATGATGAACAAAAATCAGGGATGTCAGCAGATTTCTAATCAGACCGCAGATAACAGATAAACGTCTGCGCTGCCCAGTGATGGCATCCGGCAGCCGGAAGGTTCTGGCATGCGTGTGGAGGAGCCGCAGGGCCCAGTGCAGTTGCGTGATTAAGCCTGTTGACGTCACTAATCCTCTGGATGCCTCTCCCTCAGAGGGCGTACCTTACTGGGCTTGGCACGGGACCTGGTGTGCTTCCCGGGGACCGGGGCCTGATTATGCAAATCGTGTGGGACGTCCCATTCAAGCATGGTTTGTATTTGGGGCAGGGACCAAAATATTCGAGCCAGAAATGAATAGAGAGATAAAGCGGAATAAATGGAGAAAAGGGTGAAAAGAAGCCTCAGACAGAGCGGCTATCTCTCAGGGCCCTGCATCTCTCCGCTCGCGCTTATTTACAGAGATGCAGGGCGCCGCGGGGGCCCAGCACGGTGCTGCGGCCATGGCAACGGGGCCCCGGGGAGGCGGCCCCAGGAAGAGGAAGAGCAGCACACTGAGCGCTTTGTTAGTCATGGGAAAGCGCCAGGGTCACTGTATCCGCGGCTTTTCCCGGGAAACGGACACGGGGCCCCGCCCAGCCCATCGCCGTCAGATGCCATGTGGACACGCCGGGACAAGCCGCGCACTTACGGTGTGAGCATACCGGCGCGTCATTCAGGACGGATGCCTTCACTGGTCTATTCGGAGATCATTTAAGCAATAACATATGAGAAGGAGTGCGGTTGTACTGCAAAATATCACGGCTGTGAATCGGTCGTACAACCACAGCCGTGATATATTGGAGTACAATCACACTCCTTATTGTATGTTATTGCTTTTATACAACAGTTCATCAAGTAGCATTTATAACAGTAATATCAGTAACAGTAATAAGATACAGCAGATTTTGCTTGTTTATTTACACATTTACGGGCCTCCGCAAACAAAAATAGTTTCCGTATCGTCAGCAAAAGTGGGACGGACAATTGCGTCCAAACCTTCCGCAAACCCGGAAAATTCAGTCCATATATAGTTTAGTCTAATATCGCCAGTGCCAGCAGTGAAACAACAGGCCGACTTATTAGAGGAATAACTTTGAATCGTAAATTAAAATTGTGCCGCTGGTCTAATAAATAAAGTACTGCGGCACTAGAGTTGGGGTTAGGGTTGGGGTTAGGGTTAGGGTTAGGGTGCCAAAAGCCTCCAAGCGGGAATCAGCCCATCAGCAGCTCCGTGTTGGTGGAAATGAGACTTATGTGATGGTTTTTAGACACACCTGTAAAGCGGTGTGATACAGCCCATGTGATACAGCCCATGTGATACAGCCCATGTGATACAGCCCATGTGATACAGCCCATGTGATACAGCCCATGTGACATGTCCGAGTGCCGTTACAGTTACACTCTGATAACCGCACTCACAGAACGCCCCTTTTCAGATCAGATTTCTTGGGTGGAACAAACTGTTGTATAATACAGTTAAAATGCTGATAAGTTATTCACTTTCGATATTTGCCTATTTACCTTCACAGTCTTTTACTATTGGTTCTGGTCCACTGACACATTCAGACAGGGCAGATGAAATTAACAATAAGTGAAATTCTTTAGAAACCAAATTTATGGTTGAGTTCAGCAATTTGCATCAATTATGATTCACCTGTGGAGAGAAAATCCACTTACCTTCCGCTGATGTGAGCCCAGTGACATGGGAACCCTCTACCACACTCTGCTGGTATTACTGAGCTTAATGCCATTTCATCTAAACATCAGTCATTAAAACCTGTATGTCTGCAAAAGGTTAGGGCTGGGTAGGGGTTAAGGTTGTCATGTTGTGATTAGAGTTTTCCCCATAGAAATGAATGGAAGGTCCCCACAAAGAGTGAGAGGTCTGTGTGCGTGTGGGTGTGTGTGTGTTTGTGTATGTATGTGTGTGTGTGTGTGTGTGTGTGTGTGTATGTGTATGTGTGTGTATGTGTGTGTATGTGTGTCTTGTGAAAGACCAGCATGGTGGCCTGGGTGTCAGCCAGTGTTGAGTCCTGCCTCTCCATGCTCATAAAGGGACTCACTTCCGGAGCAGCTGAAACATGGTTTCCTGGCTCATGCGTCGGGTGTTTGCCGCGTCCATCTGCTCGTAAGATCCTTGCAGCGCCTGGAAATCCTGTCTGATCAGGTTCTTAATGATCCTGAACAGCTGATGGAACATGGAGGAAGCCAGTGGTCAGACAGACAAACCAGGCCAGACAGACAAACCAGGGACCAGACAGACAAACCAGGCCAGACAGACAAACCAGGGACCAGACAGACAAACCAGGCCAGACAGACAAACCAGGGGCCAGACAGACAAACCAGGGACCAGACAGACAAACCAGGTCAGACAGACACGCCAGGCCAGACAGACAAACCAGGTCAGACAGACACGCCAGGCCAGACAGACAAACCAGGGACCAGACAGACAAACCAGGCCAGACAGACAAACCAGTGGTCAGACAGACAAACCAGGGGCCAGACAGACAAACCAGGCCAGACAGACACGCCAGCTTACCTTTGTAATTAATCAATGCTAATTAATAGACTATTAACCACTGATTTAAATCTGGATGAAAGTTTATTGAAGACTGATGGATGGAACATATAATCTTAATGTCTTCGGTGTACGTACACGTCTCCAGACTACAGCTTCTAATTTAAGGTGTTCCTGAAGTATCTCCTTGCTGAGGCGAATGAGAGCGCCCCCCCCCCCTGCTGAGCACGCCCACGGGGGGGCAGGGGTTTGCTTTACCTCAGCGTTACTCCTATCTTGGCCCACCTCCCTTGGCTCCTCCCGGGCCGCCTCCTGGCTCTCGCCCACCTTGGCCTGGGGTTCAAAGAGACTCGCTGCTCCACCCCTGAATTGTCAGGAGATAAAGACGAAGGGGAAGTCACCCATGGGTTACTGGGACAGTGGAAAAGAGAGGGAGGCCTGGGGCCTGCGGTCACATGACCCAGCTCCACGCCACACCACGCCACGCCTGAGTGTGCTAACCCGCACACAGATAGCAGAGGGTGGGGTGGCTAAGGAGCTTTCTGCGGGGCTCAGGGTCCCGGGATCAGCAGGCATCGAACCCCCGACGTCCAGCTCGACCTGAAGGGGCACAAATGGCATCACAAACACTCTTTTCTTGTGCTCCAGTCGAGGGGGGGGGGTCTCAGCCAGGCAGTCTTCGCCTTTGTGCCGGTGTCGGGGGCCAGGGGGGAAGAGAGTCTAGGAGACACTTTTCAGCCCCTTTGGAGAGGGAAGGCTCAGGGCTAAGGAACAGCCCGGGTTTTAAAGGTCAGCACCGGGGTCACAGGGAACCAATCAGGCGAAAATGATGCGAACATCAGCCTGACAGCGAGCAGAGGGCTGAGGACTTCATCTGAACAGGCCGACAGCGTGAGAGTGACAGAGCGTATGAGAGAGAGTGTGAGAGTATGAGAGTGAGACTGTGAGAGAGTATGTGAGACAGTGTGAGAAAGTGAGAGAGAATGACAGTGTGAGAGAGAGTTCCAGAAAGTGAGAGAGAATGAGTGTGTGTGAGAGAATGTGAGTGTGAGACTGAGAGTGAGTGTGAAAGTGTGACAGAGAGTGCGGAAGAGTGAGAGTGTGAGAAAATGAGAGAGAATGTCAGAAACTGAGAGTATGAGATTGTGACAGTGTCTGTGTGAGAGTATGACTGAAAATGAGTGTGTGGATTAGGAGTGTGTAAGGGAGTGTGTATGTATGTAAGTTAGTGTAAGTGTGTGCAAGATGTAAATGATGTAAATGTATGCGTGTAAGGGAGTGTGTGAATTTGTGTAATGTATGCCAGTGTGTGTAAGGGAGTGTGTTTAAAGTGAAGTGCGTGTGAATGAGTGTGATTATATTTCAAGTGGGAAGCAAGTACATTCTCTCCACAATATGAAGATGACGGAAATGGCCAATGTGAGGAAGAGCGTGGACATTTTCAGCACCGTTTGGGGCGGAGCGTGGCAGAGAGCGGAGCGTGGAGCGTGGCGGAGAGCGGAGCGGGTCGGGCATCCCGGGAGTGCACAGGCAGAGTTTAACATTCAGCGCGGCCTCTTTTCAGACAGGCTCATCCATTTAATGAGAAAGGGACAGAAAGGGGAATTAGCAAATGAATGCTAATGGCTACATGTGGAATAATCCCTGATTAGCAGAGGCAGAAAGTGGCTCGGCCCTATCCCCCCTGAGCCGGGCTTATTTCTCCCCTGAGGGCCCTGAGGGCCTGGGCTCCATCCCTCTCTTGCCACCCTGAAATCGGAACCCGACCTGGGCTGGGAACGCCAGATGCAAACCTGGAGATCCCAATGGGGTGTTTAGGTTAAAGTCCCCAGAAGGATCCAACGATGCCACTGAATCCTCAGCACATAAGAGAGCCTGTAGGGGGCGACACCAAAGCCAGATGTCCGCCTTCACTGTGAAATCCGGTTTGCACTCTTTGCACTAATTACACAGCTGGCCAATTACAATAATTAGAATAATAATTAGATGACTAGATAATTAACCCTGAGGATTCAGCCTGACAGTCAGGGCACAGGAGCACGACACCAGCAAGGTTTGATGCCCCCCTCCCCCCTGGGCCGGTTGGGGGCGGGGGGGGCAGGCAGCCCTCAGGCTCTCTCAGCGGGGTTCCCGTGTCGGACAGCACAGTGCACAGCGGGAATCGGCCAGTCCACGAGTTATGGGGCGGGGCGGGGGCACAAAGCAGGGACGTCTGACCCACCACCCCCCCCCCTTTCCGTGGGACACCACCCTGCCCATCTCCCTGAGGGACTCAGCAAAGGTGCCCCCTGCAGTATACCCATGGTCGTAGGATCCCACAGGAATATCTCTCTGCTAGTTGGAAGGGGCTGGGGGGGGGGGATTCTACTGCCCCCTAGGAGGGCGTTAAGGAGACCCCCTCAACAGAGTGACACCCACTGGGGCTAAAACTAGGGACCCATTTAAAAAAAAAAAAAAAAAAACAATCCTTGTGAAAAAAGCACGTAAAAGCCAGAGGGTGCATGTGGGGATGGAATTAAGCCTTTTTGTGGTGGGGGGGGGGGGGGGGGGGGGGGGGGGGGGGG